CCTTCTGAGGACGCTGATGAATTTTCCAGACATTAGGAGATAATGCTCCATTTGCAGCATGAAGAGACTTCTGCGATCTAGTATTTTTTAGTCTTACTTTAATTCTTTTTTAAAAAAAATTCTTATAATAGAAAAACAAGTTTTTAGTATAGTCTCTCTTCATTGAGAAAGTAATATTTGATAGTTTCCTGTTTTGTAAGCATTTTATTTCTAAATGCAACACTGATGATAAAATGATGGTGGTAAAAATCAAAAGCTACTTAACTATTTGTTTGTGTCACACATATTACCCTCTTAGCAGACCTTTGGGAGTCAGGTGTGGTGGCATATGCCTAATAATCCCAGCTGAAGCAGAAAGCTGACAGGTTTGAACCCAGCCTGGGTAACTTCGCAATTTAGGGAAACTCTGTCTCAAAATTAAAAAATAAAATAAAATAAGGAAGGACTGGGAACTCAGCTCAGGAGTTCAATCCTCAGTACTGAAGGACAAAGAAGAGGGAGCTGGGGAAGAGGGCTGGGGTGTGTAGCCAGTGCAGAGGGCCAGAGTTCAAGCTCCAGCAAAACAAGGAACAGATAACTCAAGTGCTCTAGGAATTTGGTTTTTAAATTATGAAAATATGTGGTAAGAGCAAGGGCTTTTTATAATGTTGTCAAATATTTAAGGCCTGGAATATTTATACAGATTGCATAGTTTCATGGAACTCCAGATTTCTTAGAAAACAGTTAATTCTTCATTTAAGATATCTGGCCCTGAAGAATTCAAACACTGAATTCTCCTGTGTCTTGTTAGGCTCTGCCTCCAAGTTTGATTACCTGGGAGGTATAATTTTGATTTTTTCATTCTTTCCGTCATGCAGTAAACAGTTATTGATTCTCAGCCAGGAGGGGCTTCATCTTGAAGCAGGTGTTTCACCTCCAGCCTTCTGTCCTTTTGTGCTGGATCATTAAGTCTTCATCAGGGGCTGGAGGTGCTGTGCTGTGCGTTGCGTTCAGCAGCCTCTCTCTTCCCCATTTAAACACCAAAAATGCTTCCAGACAATGCCAGTGTCCCCTGGAGAGCAAGATCATCACCCTACTTGACAGGTATTGATGATAATGGGGGAGAACAGATGGGTGTCAGTGGTGGGAGGGAAGCAAAGGATGTGACCATTGGGGTGAAAGCCGCCAATGGTTTACAGAGACAAAAGAAGAGAGAAACATGCAACACTGGCGAATCCTGGGCACTGAGGGAGAAGGAGTGCATAACAACTCTGTTTGGGCAACTGCAGGTTGTGGTGATTTTATTAAAAAATAAAGGAGGAATTGATGCACAAAAGAAGAGAGGCTGAGCTCCTGGTGTTCCCTGGGAAGTGGGCTCAGAGTCTGCTGTCTAAGACAGCAATCAGGACTGAGAGGAAGATTATGTAGGCAATGGTTTGTTAGTTAATACCAGGACAGAAAGTTGTCTTTTTAAAGATTATTTGGCTGAAGAAAAAGATGAGTGGGATAATTAAAATACAGTCTTGCATTATTGATTCTTGAACATTCCATTTTATGCCAAGCAAACAGAAAACCAATGAAACTCCTCAAAAAACCAACTATCAAAGATATGTCACTATATTTATGACTTTTGGGAACCTGGGGATCAAACCCAAAGCCTTGCACATGTGCTATACTACTGAGCTCAAATCCAATTTAATGTTTTTGAATGCTAATCACTAAATGATTTTAATTGCAAAAAGATAAGAAATTCACACATTCTTGAAACTGGCTTTCTTTTCCAACATTTAGCATGAAAGATTTCAAACATATAGAAAAGTTCAACTTCCCATATGTCTATCATGTAATTATACAGTTAATATCTTATTAGATTTGCTTTATCATATAATTCTCCCTGCAGCTTTTTAAAACATTTTTATTTTTGATCCTTTTTAGAGTAAGTTGCAGAGATCTGTACATTGTCACATCTTTGCAGCATACATCTTGAGAGATCAGTATTTGTCTAAAGTTTACCATCCTACACTTATTAATTTTACTTTTTATTTTTATTGATGTATTTATTTAAGGATGGGCCCTGCGGATTCAATTCAGGGCCTTGTGTATGTAAGCACAGACACTATCACTAAGCAATACTCCCACCTCATTAATTTTATGTGTAAAGTCTGTATGCAATTTCCTCTTTTGGAAAATGGGTAGCAATGCATTTTATTTTATGTCATGTTTTTGTGAACTTCTTGGGATGCTAACAGTGAAGATATTTACCAACAATCCTGATGAGTTAGATCCTTGAACATAGGGGTTGGTCACATTTGCCTGCTGCCCTTCTATATCCTAACATTTAGGATGTGGCTGGGTATACGGTGAGATGTCTAATTTTCTGTTATGTATATTTTTCTAACCCTAGACATGATGCATGTGTGCATATGTGTGTGCATGCTCTGCTGAGATTCAAAGCCCAAGCATATGTTCTACCACTGAGCTGTATCTCAAGCCCTGTTACCTGTCTTTGATCAAATGGACTTAAGCTTAGGCCATTGTCTTAGTCACTTTCCTTGTTGCTAAGACGAGAAACCAGACCTCCAAAGTGAAGGGAGAAAAAATTTATTTAGCTTACAGTTTGTAGAGGTTTCAGTCCATAGTTGACTGACCCCAAGGCAGGGTGGCACATGGCAGAGGGACAGCAGTTCATGGCAGCAAAAGACAGAAAAGCAATAGGAGATGGTGAGCCTCTTTCTTCCTTACATTATATCCAGTCTACCAAGAATTAGGGCTGTGCCATTCCAATCAGGTGACTGATGCAGCAGTCACCACTCTTAATTCAGCACCCTCAGTCCTACTGTTACACTACGAATCAATCACACACTCTTGATTCAGCCTCCTCTGAAAAAGATCCTATACTCACATGAGACTTTGGGGGGACATCTAGATATAAACCATGACAGCCATGTCCCAAGCATCTTTGAGATGCTAAATATCAACTAAATACCAAGCAATGCTTTGGCAAATCTTTGCAGTTTGCTTTTATAACATCAGTATCTCTCCTCTAAAGAATAGATGGTGTAGAGCTGTTATAGAAATTTGGGACCTGAGTTTGTGGGCTCAAATATTGCGTTCTATTGCTACAAGAATATTGACAAATCTCTTGGCCTTTCTGAACTGAGCTTGGGTGTTAATTATTACTAGGTTGAGAGTTCCTACCTGAATTTGATGCCCAAACACTTGTGGGTTTCAAATGAACCTCTGCATGTACTTGGGCTTTGTCAGCTGTGACCTGCTGGCATGACTACCACCTGTGGTTTCAAATTCAGTGGATGTGAAAAACCAGCATCCCTCCCCCTCACCATCTTCCCTGCTGTCTTCTGAACTTCTAGAATGTGTCATCGAAAATAAGAAAGTAGTAAGGAAATAAATAGTTCAGAATCAAAGTTGCTCTGTTAAAGAGCAAGAATGAAGATTCAAAGTATCTCAGCATTCAAAGAAGCAGAAAATTCTAATATGCACAGGCAAATTGTGCTCTCTGGGAAGCCTGGATTAAGGAGGAACAAGAGCAATGTAGTGAAAAGCATGAAACAAAGGCTTTTCAAGCACTCCAGAATCACTTGGAGACTGGGTTATTACCCTGGCAAAGTTATTAAAGTTGATTTCTCCAAATCCTTTTCCTGAAAAGGGTCACCTAAGGATAACTAGCTAGCTCCCCTGAGGTTGCATTTATTTTTGAAATCATAATTTAAAATAAGCTAGTAATCATTGCTACATATAGCTATCCCTCAGACTTATAGGACCAACTTTTTCTTTTCATAAAGGTGTTGAAGGAGAGAGGTTTAAAACGTTGGCCGATAGTTGGCAGAGGGAGACTGCTTTTGCTTGCCACATTTAAATTGCATTATATAATATGGGGCACTTTTTCTTCCTTTGGGTTTGCTTTAAAAACTGCCAAATTAATCCAAGTTATTTCATGTTTTCAAAGAAATTTACATGAACTTCTAACCAAGCCTAATAAGTTGTATTAATACCAATGTTCGCTTACTGACTGGAGTTTTTTCGATACCGAAATGTTTAAAAAAACTTTTAAAATACAGACCACTTAATGTAATAGCTAAATTAATAACAATTTACAATGAGAAAAAGTGTTTGTATTGATACTAAGGCAAGAATGTTAGGAAGCCCTGGTAAAAGACAACTACCTGCAAGGACTTGCTTGGGAAAATCTGGTTAATGGCATAATGTCGGATTCTTTGTGCAGAGGGTGTTTCCTTTTTGTCTTTTTTCTTTTTATACAGGGCCACAACAGTGACATGTTTAATATTGATGAGTTTGACCTCCTGGGAGTTATAGTTTAAGCACCAAACCCTTTTTGAATACCAATGCTGTTTAATTTATATGGTAAACACATAGAATTTTGGAGATTAGCATTTTAATCAACCCTAATCTCAGCATTTTCTGCCTCTCCTTTTTACTGTCAAAAAAAAAAAAAAAAAAAAGTTTGATCAGCCCACTTTGGAAATGACAGCAAAGGTGTCCCTGAGGAAGCAGGGTCTGTAAAACCCAGTGCAGCACCTTGGTAGAAACCTTCCCTAAGCCAATATGCTGGAGCATGTCGGAGTGCTCCAGGAGACTATCAATTATTCAAGAAACAACAGTTCATTCATTCACCAATATGTATTAAGGGGTCCCGCAGAAGCAGGCGGATGGATGTGCGCGTGCCTGAACGTGATATTATGTATTGTGGCACTTCTAAACTGGAGCTGGGCTTCGGTTCCCCCTCCCATCTTTGTCTGAAATTTTCTCCTAATGTTTTGAACTTTTTGTTTTTGCAGGTCCCGGAGCTTTGAAGTTGCGGGTGCATCTCCCAACGGACGCGCTCTTTGCGAGGTGGGAGGGCCCATGCATTCGATTTGCACGGTGGAGATTCAAGTCCCCGAGATAGAGGAAACGTTTTTCGCGCCTGAGTTCTGCGCCGAGCTGCTCGGGGGCCGCGGGGGCGGCGGGCGCTGGGCCAGGCGGTGGCTGCGTCGGGCGCAGCCATTGGCGGGCGCGGCGCGCTGTACTGAGCATGTTCGCGCCCCGCCGGCTCCGGGCCGCAGCCGCAGCCGCAGGGACGGCGGGCGCGGGAGCCGCCGCGCATTATGCAAAGCGGCAGCAGATGCGAGCTGGGCCAGCCGGGCGCTCGTCGGCCTCGCCTCCCAGCGGCTCGTCCAGCTGCCTGATTCGCCCGCGAGACCCCCCTGGCCCGGGCCGGGGGCCGAGGAGGCCCGCGATGGCCTGAGTCCCCGGGGCGCGGCGGCGCGGCGGCGGGATTGCACCATGGGGAACCAGGATGGGAAGCTGAAGAGGAGCGCAGGTGAAGCCGCGCACGAAGGCGGCGGCGGCGGCTGCGCCGAGGATGCTGTGGGGCCCAGGGATGTGGAAGCCACCAAGAAGGGCAGCGCCGGCAAGAAGGCGCTGGGCAAGCACGGCAAAGGGGGAGGGGGCGGCGGGGAGTCCGGGAAGAAGAAGAGCAAGTCGGACGCCCGAGCCTCGGTGTTTTCCAACCTGCGGATCAGGAAGAACCTGTCCAAGGGGAAGGGCGCCGGCGGCTCCCGCGAGGATGTGCTGGACTCCCAGGCCCTGCAGACCGGGGAGCTGGACAGCGCTCACTCCCTGCGCACCAAGACCCCGGACCTCAGCCTCTCGGCGGACGAGACAGGCCTGTCGGATACCGAGTGTGCCGACCCCTTTGAGGTGACGCGGCCAGAGGGTCCTAGGCCTCCCGAGGCTGGGGCAGGGGTCCAGCCGGTCGCTGAGGATTTGGAAACCGCCGCGGGGGCGCAGGATGGACAAAGGACCAGTTCGGGCTCGGACACGGACATCTACAGCTTCCACTCGGCCACGGAGCAAGAGGATTTGCTCTCGGACATCCAGCAGGCGATCCGCCTGCAGCAGCTGCAGCAGCTCCAGGACGGCCAGGAGCCTGCAGCGACCCCCACCGCCGCTTTCGCTCCTCCCGGGGCCTTCCTGGGCCTGGACCGGTTCCTGCAGGGACCCAGCGGCGAGGCTGGGGAGGCGCCGGGCGGTCCGCGCGCGGATCAGGCACCGTCCGCGCTCCCCGCCCCGCCGGAGCCCCAGGCTGCCCAGGCCCGGGAGCCGGCGCAGCCCCCGTCCCCCCGCAGCCGCAGGGCCTCCGAGGCGCCCGGAGTCCCCGGGGCCCAGTCCCCGCTTGCAGACTCGCGCACTGCCTTCCCGTTCCCCGAAGCCGGGCCGGCGGAGGGCGCAGACGCAGCCCGGGACACAGACGAGGAGGTCGAGGAGGATGCTTTTGAGGATGCCCCCCGGGGCTCTCCGGGAGAGGAGTGGGCCCGGGAGGAGGGAGAGGCTCCCCAGGAGCTGGGGCCAGAGCCGGAGGAGGAGCGGACGCAAGGGCCCGGGGACCCCGCCGCGGCCGCCTCCCTGCCCGGCAGCCCCGCGCCCAGCCCGCGCTGCTTCAAGCCCTACCCGCTCATCAGCCCCTGCTACATCAAGACCACCACCCGGCAGCTCAGCTCGCCCAACCACTCCCCGTCTCAGTCCCCCAGCCAGAGCCCCCGGATCAAGAGGCGCCTGGAGTCCTCCCTGAGCCGGGGGCCCAGACCCGCCCTGGCCTCCGCGGCCGCCCCGGCCAAGAAGCAGCGGGCGGACGGGGCGCTGGCCGCTGGCCTCAGCCGCTCCGCCGACTGGACGGAGGAGCTGGGCGCCCGTGCGCCCCGGGCGGGAGGCTCGGCTCACCTGCTGGGGCGCGGGGCGGCCGCGGACGGCGGCGGGGTGACCCCCGCGCTGGGCGCCAAGGCGTCTGGGGCGCAGGCGACCGCGGACGGCTTCCAGAACGTGTTCACAGGTGAGCGCGCCTCGGCCGGCCTCCAGGTGGCAGGTCGCCTGCCAATCAGGGCCTTCACCTGCCACCCGCCCGCTGCCGGGGAATCCTGCCCGGCCCAGGCCTGCGTGAAACCCTTGGACAGACAGACGTGCTGGTTTACTGTGTCTTCACAGGGTGGTAAAGGGAACAGTTCAGGAGAGTCTGCTCCAAATCATCTCAAGAAAGGGATGCTGTGCTCACTGCTCCCAAATATCTGCTGTTCTTCAGTGCTCTGGGTGCCTCCAGGCAGACTGACCCCTTTTGTGCCTTGTTAGCTAAGCCATATCATATTTCCTACTTCCTGACCCCACAGTATGTCAGGAACGAGATTGTTCTCCGTCTTTTTAAGGGATTGATGTTGGAGACCCAAGGCATTCCACTGCTTTACAAGGGCGATCTCTGATTGTTCATATGTATGTGCATATGTGTGTATGTGAGTATACATGTATATATAACTACATGTGCATACATTATCTATTTTTTATCTTGCAGAGGTCCAAGTGGGTACCATTACTTTGTGAAGTTGAGCGATCACTCCTGTTTCCTAATGCAAACAAATCTGGTGTGCGCTATTAGAAAATGAACAGATAATGGAATAATAGGGAGGTTTTCATCTGGTTTCATGGTCCAATCAGAATGGGCTGTGACGAGTCGTGAAGTGGAGAAGGCCAAAGGCACCCCGTGGGCCAGCCAATACCTCTCTGTCTTAGCATTTGTTGTGGTCTCATACAGCTAAAGCACAGCTGAGGAGTCAAGGTGGTAAAGGTCAAGCAGTAAGATGAGTTTATCCTTTCTTACAGGCAGATGGGTCCCCAGGCCGTGCCTTAAGTATCTATTTGTTTCCTGTAAACTACTCTTAATTATGAAGTGAAACAGAGCATTAGAATAGGAAAAAACAATGCAACATTTTTTGCCAGTGCTGGTAAATATTTAAATTAACTGACAATTTCAAATGTAATTTTAAAGTCTTGTATTGTTATTTAATAAAGAGGGTACCTGTGATGAAATTTTTAATGAGGACAGCTTCTCAGTTGGCTAGTTGCTGTTTATGTTATGCTGTCTACTTTTTAGGCTATATTTTTATTTTCATCTGTGGGCTGTTTTTTATTTTTCACTTATAGAATCTTTAAAAGTAGCTTTTTAAAATGAGCTTTTTTTCCTGCCTTTTCTTAACTGTGTATGTTCAGTTAAAAGGATTTATAGTCTTCAATACATTATGTAAGTTGTCAAATCCAGAACCAAAGCAAAACACACAAAAATTGAAAGACCTCTTTTTATTTTATTTTATTTTATTTTTTTGTTTGAGACAGGGTCTTACTATGTGGTTCAGACTGGCCTTGAGCTTACTTTGTAGTCTAGGCTGATCTTGAATTGCAAAAATCCTACTGCCTCAGCCTCCTAAGTGCTGGGATTACAGGCATGTGCCACCATGCCTGCCCTTGAAAGACCATTTTTGATGAAAGAAGCTTAAAACATTCTCCAATTTCTTTTTTAAAGTCAGGGGCTTAAACTCAGGACCTTGCATGTGTGTAGAAATTCTCTGAGCACTTTTTGTGAATTTAGTGTTGGTGAGAAATCATGGTTTTTCTCTTTGAATCACATTCATTTATAAGTTTTCTCAAAATGAAAATTATTCACCATAATTATGACTTTCAATGATTAATATTAATAATTGCTCTTTCTAGGGGTAGTATACGACTGGAAATTTTTTTCCTTTGTGTAGCATACACCATACACACATACATGAACATGCACACGTGTGTAAACACACACATACACACTGCGCAGCCGCATTGTGCCCGGGAATATGTTAGGTGGTAGGTATTACATAAATTTTTTTTCCTGGTACTGAGAATGCAACCCAGAGCCTCAAGCATACTAGGCAAGCATTTTCTCGTGAACTACAGCCCCAGTCTGATACTGGGATAGTTTCACTAAGAGGAGACACCAATAAGTACCATGCAAAGTATATGGGTATAAATCAGTGGTAAAGCACTTGCCTAGCATGTGCAAGATCCCACACTGCATTCCCAACTTCAGAAGAAAAATGAAAGTCCAGTGTACACAGTCTATATATCTATCTGTGTATCTGCCTACAGATATGTAGGACAGGTTCCTAAAAACATCAAGGAAAAAGTGACTTGTCTCTGGGGGAATAGGAAGGCTTGTCAGATGAGGACTACAGAGTTCTGCAAGATCATGGAGCCCTAAATAGGTTGTAATTGTGTTTCCTTTTAAAAAGCATATTCTTGGACTTGTATATCCTTTTAATTTGTTAATACCGTATTTTTAAATTTGAAATTTAGCATCATAAAGGAGGCCTATGGTAGCAGCTGGCTTTTGATGGTACTGAGACTTGAATCCAGGGACTGCACACTGAACCATATCCCTTCATATCCGTTTACACTTTTCATTTTTGAGATAAGGACTGGCCAAATTCTCAGGCAGGCCATGAACTTGAGATCCTCATGTCGCAGCCTCCCTAGCTGCTATAGGCATGTGCACTGACTTTCCTATCTGACTTTCCAAGATTTTTTTTTGTTTTTATTGTGTACAGTAAAAGCACAGGGTTAGTGTTTTGATGATGTGGATGTTACCTACTTTGTATTTGATAGTTGGATATAGCAGATATATTTTTGTATATCAGCTTCTGTACATTAATCTCCTCCCATTAGCATAGATCAGGGAGGAAAAATATGTAGATTTAACCTAACCTGTGACTGGGAAGAAATGGAGTTAGAAGAAAAGGTGAAATAACTTTCTCAAAGTCGTTCTGTGATTCATGCAGAGGCAGAAAGGGAAGTAGAGCTGTGTCTGCTGATTGATTCTGAGTACTCTTGCTTGTTCTGGTTCAGCATTGTAAGGAAATTAAGAGTCCTCTTTTACCACATTGTGGCATCTGTCTACGCCATCTTCCCCTTATGGGGTGTTTTTGATTTCTGTTAATAACATGCACTCCTTCCTGGTTGAATCTTCCTTGGACTAAATGAAAGGTAACAATTGGCTAGAGTGAATCAGATTTTTAAAGGTAACTTCGTGGAAACTCGGGGAGCAGTGGGAGATCCACACTGACACAGGCCCCTGGGTTTCAGCTGCTGACTCCTTCTGTGTGATCGGCCACCACATTTGCTCCTTTTTCACACTGCTATTTTATGGGTGTCTTGGAAATTAACAGAGGGTTTGGGGAGCACTAGTGTTGTCCTTAGGGAACCAGTTCTTTGGCCTTGATCATGCATGTATTTGGATCAATTAATTGCCAGTTGCGTTGGAAGCAGGTGATTATATGTATCCATAAATATTTTTAAAAATCTTTAAACCATAGAATGAGATCTGTCAGCTCTGCAGGAAAGAACAGATGTTTCTCCTTTTTTCCTGCCTTGCAAATGTAGGGAGAATATTCTGGTGAAAAGAGATTTCCATTTCACGTGTTAGAATATTTTGGGGAGATAGAAAAACATTAGCCAGGCAGTAGACCAAAACAGGATCTTGTTTAGCTGTTAAGAAACGGACAGTACCTTTAGCCACTGCTTGTTACAGATATCACAGTTAATTTGTTCAAAATACAGTTTTCCACATTTAATAGGAAAGAACTGAGAGATCTCTTTACTCAAGTGTTTCCAACCTGTGACCCTGGACAACTATTACGCAGGCCCACGACGTAGTAACCTTATGACGCAGTGAGATGATATTTAGTGATAGTTTTCATGACTGGATTGCACAGTGCTTGAACTTGGTGGGTGTAGGTGAGAGCCTTGCACTGTGTGGGGAAGGTGAGGTGCCGAGTTAACTCTGCCTCCTGCACCTGCTGCACCTCAGTCCCATGGAAGCCCACATGTGAGCCTATGTGTTCCTGGGTGAGCAGGGTACAGTGATGAGTAACAATGGGATTTCAGCCCACCTACCCATGTATGAGCCCTAGACATCGTTGGGTGTTTATTGTTATTAAGCAGACATGTGAAGCTTTCTTATTTAATTATTAAACATGGGCTCATGTGTTTCTGTAAAGTGTTTACTAAGTTGAATATTAAAAGGAACTTTTGTGACTCACATATGTATTCTACCTAGCTGGCTAAAGACAGTCCCTTTTTATTCAGTGCTGCCCAAACAAATGAACAGGTTGGATGCCCATGCTTTATTCATTAATCACAGCAGAAGCTTGGTAATCGAGTTTTCTTCTTTCTGGTTTTTCTTTCTGTCCCTGTGTGTGTGTATGTCTATGTATTGCACTGGGATAGAACCCAAGGCCTTGCCCCTGCTCAGCAGTTACTCTGGGACTGACAGAGTTACATTCCCAGCCCAGTACTGCAGTTCTGCAGTTGAAGTCTAGAACTTTAACCTGTTAATCACATGATACTGAGTCACACTCCCCCCCACCCCCCATGCTGGGGACCGATCCTAGGACTCTGCCCCAGTAAGGCGAGTGTTCTACCACTGAGCTCTATTCCTAACCTGTTAGATCATTTTGATAGGACACTTCCCAAAGTCTATTATATACTTATCTGTCTTTCTAAAAAGACACGGTATAAAAATTTCATCTGTTTTAAAGAGTTTAATGTCATCTGCAGGCAGACCATCTTGTGAAAATGTTAGTGATTCCCTCAACAGCTATTTCAGGCTGGAGGTTGGCGGACTCAGTCTGTGCTTTCTGAGTTTTAGAGTCTTGGTGGTTTCCTGCCTCTTCCTTCCTGTCCGCTAGCTGCTCTTGGAGCCTTTCCTCTTCTTCATCTCCTTCCCTACTTCCTTACAATGCGATTTTTCTGGTCAATTGGTTATTGGCTTGTAAAGTCTGGAATGATGAAGTTAGCTTTATTTATTGCAATTCTCCTAATGCCAGACTCTCTGTAGATGCATTATATAATTTTCTCTAGTCCTTACGACAGTCTTGAAGCATAGCTGTTTATCCTCATCTTTCCTATGAGCAATGCAGGGCTCAGACAAGTAAAGCAACTTGCCTAATGGCATTAAGCTAGTCAGCCACCCAT